CCTTCCAGTATGCACGCTGTGTTTTCACATTGTCACCATAGTACAAACAATGATAATTATTGTTATATTTGAACTCATTGTATGAATACATCTATATGCATTCCATAATATTATATTATTATCGTAATTATGTGCTAAGTCACTTTTGTATACATTATAACTATTCGCTTCAGCACCGACGAGAGACACAGCGAAAAGTTGGCGTTAAAATATTAACGAATAATCATTGTCATGGTGTCCATATCTTATTTACTAATATATATACACAGTTCCAGCTATTACTGTGTTTTCATTACGATAACAATAAAAACTGTTTAATTATAATTATTATTTAACAAAAGCTTCTAAAACGGGTGCAGCAGCCTTAAGCATTTAACGGGAAAAATATAAAATAAAAAAACCATTTAAGTTTAGTTCAAAATCCAAAATAGACTTAAAATATACTGGTGGTTATAAACTTTATTAAATCACTTATAACTTAATGTTGTTTTCCATACCTCGTATAAAATTATTTAGTAATTAATTAATGCGTGTTTCATAATAACATAGATACAATTTGAACATATTGTTGGAGAAATTTAATTTATTTCTTCCCTCTTTAAAAATATGTTTATACATTTACACGTAGTTTCCATAATTTTTAGGATGTTTTAACAGTAATAAAAGCTAAGGCATTACTTTTTTATAATACACTTTATTTAGTTAAAACCAAAAAAAGTATACGTTTCATTATCATATATGTAGTGCAAATATTTTTTTATACTAGACACTGCAAGTGATAATACTTTCCTAGTTAATTAATTTTTTGATAAATATGTTATATTTATTGTTATAATGTATACAATATTTAAATATTGTAAAAGTATATGATGTAACGTGCTTTAATTTATTATTGAAATTGCTGTCAACATAATACTTTAAAGCAACCAAGTAATGGTTGTCAAAAAAATTTTCTCTACTTTCTATTATTCACTAGTTGTATTATATTTCGGATAAAATGTCTCATAAAATACTCTTTAATTATACTTGGAATGATTTAAGATTCATGTGAAAGCAAAGTCAATGTATTTTTTGATATTTAGGTAAAGTAGAAAAGATTAAGGTTTAAATTAGAACATTATGTCAAAAAATGTTTCGCTATAATTTGAAAAGATTATTATTAGCTTCGATGCGAAGCTGAGGAGGTTTTGTTTTGTGGTGGTGTGTGTTTTTTTTTAGTTTTTCATAATATAACAAATTAAATCCGAATGAAATTTTATTAAATTTTACTAGATACAATAAGCTTTTTTTTTATGCTTCTTCAAAACATTCAATGAAAATCCTAAGTATAGGAAATGTTTGAAAGAGACCACTTGCGTATTTATAAACATTTTTTTTCACTCGATATTTGAAAAAGTTCGGAAAGTACTTATATTAAATTAACCTATATCAAATTAAAGCTATTGAATTGTACTACAATATTAAAAAAAAATTTGCCCCGAGGATTGTTCTACTATGTAAAATCGGCCATCAAAACAAAAAATTAATGTTATTTTAAATTAAGCAAATAATTTAACAAGGATTTAATATTCGGATGAAATTATAGATCATAAAAATAGTAAAATTACAAATATACAAATTTTGAAATTTAACAGATTTGCACCGAGCGCTTTTTATGATAATGATGTAAATCACTGTCAAATATAATCTATAGTTCTACGTTTCAACTTTGCCACGTTCCCATTGTGTCGCTATTTCACTGTGCTAAGTTTTTAAAATTAAAATAATAGGATACGATTTAACAATTAAATAGTAAAATAACTTAAGAAGTCAAAATCGATTATTTGATGTGTAACCATTGTATTTTATAGTTTGACAAATAATTTTACTAGACAGTAGTCATGTGAAAAATATGTTCATCTTATCATGTTAAGGATAATACACGATGTCCTTGGTGATGCTAGAAACGCTTTTTTATTAACTTGCATGTCTTTTGTGATTTAGCACTTCAATCGTAAAATATAGATTATATAATAGTAAGGTGAGTTACATATAGACATGGCGAATTTACACGCATTCTAGTAGGATCTTCTCGTATGTGTATAATAATTGTTATATCCAATGTATTCAACCTAAATGAATTTCTTAATAACAATGTAGTAATATAACATTCTCTTTTAAAAAGATAATAATGATAAATAGCATACTATTAGTACTATAGGCTGATTGATTCTAGAATGAACCCTCATGACTTCGATGTTGCCATTATTCGCACCAGTGTATCTTCACTCTTATTGCTCTTAGTCTTCATCTAGTACCATGACCGTTGATAAATTGTATACAGATAAGATTGCTAAAAAAGTAATAATCAGATAGTATAGCAACAACAATAATGTCGTCAATGTTGATAATAACAGTAATAAAAACCAATTTGTTTCTTTTATTCAATAAACACTATGTATATGTTAAGGACAAACACCCTGGTGTGCAAGTATTCTGTTACATTAGATGTGTGTTAGTAATTATAGTTTTACATATTTGCCTTACGGTAATTGTCACATCGAATTGTTACTTGAAGCAATTTAATTATAAACTAAAATAATGAAGTAATTACAGTTATCTTAAATAACAATTCTTTGTATGTTTATAAAAATTGTATAATAATAATCATTAATGTGTCTAATTTTCCTTCGTATTTTTGTTATTTCATATATTTTATGACATTTTAATAATTCAATTTCTACTTGACCTTAAGAACGCGTTCATTCATCTCAACTAATGTATTTTCTTAGTAACTTTAAAAAATTACTTTACATTCATTCAAATTAATAGTCTTTCTAATACGTCAATGTATTTAGTGTGTTATATTAATTATAGTATTTTTTTGAATTTTTAACTATGTTACATGTATACTCATTAGGGGTGTCTCTAGATATTTTTAGAGAAATGAAAGTGAATTTTACATATTTCAATATCGTAACGAATATACTATTTATCATAAAAATTCCGACCACTAATAATTATCGTTTAATTCGCATGTTTTATGCGAACATTTAAGGGGTTGATATATCCTACCACACTACTTGCAAAAACAATTTGATACTCATTATTCATTAGTAATTACTATATTACATTAAAATGAAAGTCTAATTAATGTTTTAATTAATTTTATAAAAATTTATCTATTTATTAAATAAACATAATTTATTTCACTTTTATATTTTCTTAATAGTTCTTTATTTTTCTTATTTTAATCGATATCAATATTACAATCTACCAGAAGTTTTATAGATTTTAAAATAATTTTGAACCCTTAGAAAATATTATTAATTTTTGAAAATATTATTTTCTTTTATGCTTTTTGGGAGGTTATTAAGGTGATCTATAAGCTCCATAACTGGTTTTATTATCTAAGTCTATCTCTATTTGACTAATACAATAATACTATATCACGTATAGCGATATATCATGCTTTCCTCAACAAAAAGGTTCAAGTTAAAGTTAAAGTTTCATTTTTTTCTTTTTTCTTTTTACTTTCATTTGCACGTTTTGCTATACCCATCTTTAGTTGAATAAAACGATTAATTATTTTAAAGACTAAGTAAAAGAAAACTGCTGCATATAATGACTTTGACATGAAACAGTAACAAAAAAAAAACGATTGCGACCACGACAGTAATTCACAGTAATAATATTAAAATATGTTATTACAATAGAAGAGATCGTGATCAAATAAAAAGAACATTAAAAAAATAATTAAGTCCCTGGTCTCGCCTCGTAATCTCCTATCGGAATGACAACAATGACTGACAGGGGCTTCATAATAAAAAGGTTGTTGGAAAATCGTGTTCGCTTAAAAAGAACTTGGTGCACTATGCGTATAAAATATGGATAATCATAAATTATTACGTTTTTAAAATATTATTACATTACATAAGAATTATTAGTAATAATATTTAACTTATTTTAATTTACTTTTGTTTGAATGAATTGATTATTTTAATAATTCTTGTGTAATTACGTATATACTATTGTATGATTTGAGTTATTGTTTTTACAAATACTGATTATAATTATAACATTGAATGTTGTTAGTGTAGCGTGTTAATATTTTAAATCAATACTTATTGATTGGTAATGTCATTAATATGAAAATAATTTCAAGTGTCGTTTTTGTATATAAAAAATAAAAAAAATATATAACATTTTCTTAAGTCATCCTTTTTTAATTAGTTTTATAGCTTTTTTATTCATAAATTGTTCCAGTCAGTGCATAATAAATGCAAATATACTATATACTTCAACAATTTTTTAAAGTTTAAAAACGTTAGTGTTTAATAACCTAACTTTTTAAAACGTATCTAACAATGTGTGTTACATATTTAGATCACATTTTTATAAGGTACAACCTGATTCTATGCAAAGTTTAGCGGTCCGGTCACGCGATCTAATTACAAAGTCAACGTTCTCTACTAAGAATACTTACGTAGTATTTATAAGTTATTTTATATCGAACCATCCAGTGAACTACAATATATTAGCGTGACGGTAGCTAAAGATCATATCACAAGATTGATATTACCATCCATAATCATTGATTGCACCATAAGATAAGTAACTTCAAGCTAAATTTTCAAATGTAAATGAAACATTTGAGAATTATTCTAATTTTAAATTATTGATTTATTTATCATATTTATATTTCTATACATTTTAAGTTACGTTTTAAAACCATCGTTTAATGTTTATACTTTTTTATGATAAAACTTAATTTTAATTTCAAAAATAGTCACTAATATGTTTATATATTTCATCAAATTTATTGTTCAAAAAAATTATACATTATTCATAAGAAATATTTTAACTAGAATAAATATATTATTATGTATAAATGTAGCATACAATTTAACTAGATGAACAAATTTTGTTAAATTTTTGAGTTATCTAAAAATAAATAATGAAATCAGTAGTTACAATTTGTTAATTTTTAAATCTTTAAAAGAAAATTTTTGTTAAAAAAGTTTTTATTACACATTGTTCTTTTATGCTGTCAAACTTTTTATGATTAAATAAAAAAATACTTTAATAGATTTTAATTTATTTATTCTATCAAGTGTTCAAGCTTAATTTTACTCAAACATGTGTTAGAGGTTAAACGTTACTATTTAAATTATGGCGACCTACTGTAGATCATTAAAATTGTATGATTAATTGTAACGTGAATTTTTCTTATTTAAATTACACATTAACAGTAAACCATTAACGTTACATGGTCATGCATCCCAGAGTAAATAAACCATACATGTACTATACAATAAAATAATAGTATGTTAGTGCTATATTTTTTCTTTAATTTTACTTTGAAATAATTTTGTTTAATAAATTATATTTAACGACATTATAGATTTAAAATAATTGATAATTTAACTCCAAGTAATGTCATAATCATACGAATTTCGATGTGTATTACCTGAGATTTCAATAATTTAAATAACTCAGTAAGGTGTATACTAATTCATCAAAATTTAACTATGGTTATCCAAAATCACCGATTTTAATTTAAATAATTATTATAATATGTCGTGTCTGATAAATAAATAAAAATAGTTATTAAGAAAAAAATGAATAAAAATTGTAATTTCAAACGTTAACAACTGCAGAAAATTGTATTTTAAATAATTAATTGTCAGATACACTTATAACATTTTTGTTTCCTTCTCAGTAACTTTGTCTTCGAGTTCCTTCTGTTCCAATTCTTTTAGTTTATCTGTCATTTTCACATTTTCCTGTTGTAACGTGTAAATTTGTTGTGTTACAGTCTCAAATTCTTCTTTTAACTTTTCTAGTTCCACTTTTTCAGTAATAATTTCTGTCATGTGATTTCTCATAAATCTAACAAAATTATGATATAAGTAGAATGTAAAAGAATATAATTTTTAATGAAATATGCTGTATAATTTATTATAAATATTATTATCGTAAGATTAGTTTTGAAAAAATTATATTTTAAAATAATTTTCTTATAAAAAATTATTATCGATTAGAAAGTTATAACCCTAAAAACGTTATTATGAGGNTCTTATAAAAAATTATTATCGATTAGAAAGTTATAACCCTATAAACGTTATTATGAGGTTAAACTTTATGCGAAACATATCTTATGCGTCTAAAATGTGTCAATATATGTAAAAATACCAATTTTAAAATTTTTTTATAATCCGTTCTTACTCTAATGGATCTACAGGCTTTTCATCCAATTCATATAGTTTAATTAACACATTGGTTAATGCTGTTAATACTCCAGCAGTTTCTAAAAAGTTTTTAAACTCTTCTCGTTTTACATCTAAAGGCTAATAAAAAGATAGTGAATAACTGTAAGAGATTTTAATAGACCATATAAAAAATAACTTAAATTATAAATTAGTAAAATTTTATTTCTTTCATTTACTATTTAATTTAATAAGTCATTTTACGTATATTTTTAGAATGAAAATTTGCTTACACGTTCGCTTCGAGTTTCTGCCATTGTAAATCTAATTTAATATATTGGTATAAATGAGTAAATATTAATACCCAATTAATTCGTTAGTTTATATTATAAATAAATGTTATTAAATAACATTTTTATTATAAAAATAAGATATTTGTGATATAAATTAAAAGTATCCATTTTGCATTATTGTTTTTAGCCAGAATATTGCAACATTTTTTTTTACCTACAAAACTCTAATTTACAATAATCTAAAATTATAAAATTAAATTTTAAGACTGATTTATACCTCTTATTCCCTTTAAACGATTTACAGTTACCCAACTTTTGTCGAGGAAATTTTTTATATGCATTGTAATATAGTGACATCTAAAAATTATTAAAAATACTAGGGCAAAAAAAAAATGTCCATTGTACCAATTACACTCAGACATTTTACAAGATAAAATAATGAGTATAAATAATATAAAATTCAAGATTAAAAATTTATTAAATTGAAATTACTAAAAATCGTGGATATATATTTTGGGATTAATGTTATATTATCAACGTAAAACACATACAAAAATTATTGGTACCTACTAGTATCGAAATTTCTTCATCATCAGTTAAAAGATTAACTAATAATCATATAAAATGTATAAAAATAGTAAACTACGTAAAAAATATTTGTTTTTTATATGTATGTTGTATATAAATGTTCATATTTAAATAATAAATGTTTCATAGCAACGACTTTAAATATCAGTTATGATTTTATTTAACTATAAAAGATAATCTATATGTACAATTTTAATTTAATGTGTTTTATTAAAGCAGTTTAAACTAGCAATGCACATCAGTAAAAAATGGAGTTATTTTTCGTTAAAGAATTTTTTTAACATTTTTACTTAAATTTTAATATAAAACAATAAATTCAATATTATGAAAAACAATTAATAATATTTTTATAGTATTTATGGTTATAATAAACATGATATCTTCAGAGTCAAATCTTAAACGTCGAATTTTGCATAAACTATTATCTCCAGATCGTCCTAAAAGTATAGATATGTATTTATGGTCGACGAACCCTTATTCATCGAGTTATTTTTTAAAAGTGTAATTCTATACTATCTCAATTTCAAAAAAATAAAGCCAGTTGCGACCGACTTTAGATTCAAATTAGAGTTATAATTCACTCGATGATGAGGCTTCTTCAAAAGTTGAACCACTTGATGTTTATTTTTTAAAAGAAAGAATTTTTTTCAATATTCGTTTAAATGACTCACATGCATCTTGTTTCGATTAAAAATTCAAAATAAATTGTTGTTTAGGTAACGGTATTTTTGGCAAAGTATACAAGTGTACCACTTTAGTAGAATGCATTCTTATGCTATTAAAAGATTGACCGGTTCAATCTCTAATACTCGATTGTTCAGGGTAAATTAATTTCGAAAATAAGTATATATTCATGCAGCTTCAGGGTATCACTCTAACAATGTGTCTTATTAATCAGCATGGCATGAGAGAAACTGTTCAAACAGAGTTTTGTAGCGGTGATACTTAGAATGTCTTGTTCGTACATCAAGTTATACTTTTAGTAATCGTGTTCTTAGGCGATTGATTTGTAACGTATGCAATATCCATTCAAATAATATTGTTCATTTGGCTATTAAAGCCAAAAATATATTTATATTTCTTACAAATAATATGTCATCGTTATTTCCAATTCGGGCAACAGTGTTGTCAGTCAGATATAAAATAGAAAATTTCGAATACACAATTCATATAAAAGAAGTACCTAACATTTAAAAAGTAATTCCGTCGTTATTTTCCAAAAAAAATATTAAAAGATAATTATTCCAAACTGCGAAAAGTTGATATTTATTCGGTAGCTACGAAAACTCATTTGTCTAATTCTAGTTTATTTTTCTACTAGAAAAATTCTAATTTTAGTACTGGCCTTGAAAAAATATTTAAATATTAAATTCATTTAAACGCAGCGGAATCGCCTAATACCTTCAAATGTAATTTATCGTTTGCATAAAAAAGTAATATCCTACAGTACTTTTACAAATATTATCGACTTAAAATATAAATTAACAAAACTCATTATCTATTTTTCAATTTATGGTATTTTTATTGTATATTAATTGAAAACTAATAATCTACGTATTTAACTAAAAACTTTAACTATAAATATATTCTATTAAACAATAAATTAATATTAATTTTAAAATTCTTTTTATTGTTTGCGTATATTTGATAACTGAAGAATAATTTAAATTTTCGGTACCCTATCTTATTCCAAAAGAAAATATTGGAATTTTTTGAGGACCTAATACTTATAGTAAATGTGCTCTTTTACTAGGACGTTATCCTAACAGTTATTGCAACCATATCCCATAAAATTTATAATTAATAATTATTTATAAGTTGTATAAACTTATAAATAAGTGTAGTCATTACATTTATTTACTATGAAAAAGTTTTAAATGAATTTTATCCTCTTTTTAAAAACTACCTGATAAGTTCCAATAGTTCTCTTTGCTGCTTTAATTTACTANACAAACTTCAAAACGCTACAGAATATTTACTACTGAATATTAATAAGATATTTTTTTACTAAAATTTTTCTTAAATTCTACTCTACAAAATAGCTATCTTAGATTTTTTTTTTACATTTTATTTAAAATTTAAAAATAATTAATATTTTTAATAAAATGTAAAAAAATTAATTATTGAGATATAGCTATAGACCTAACGTATAACTATTATTTAAAAAAAAAATCAACTAAAAATATTAACTGGATCAAAAGTTATTTAAGTTGTCAGTGAGTGGTGGGCCACCCTGTATATATATATATATATCAGTTTGTAAATAAATCAGTTTTATCTTATTAATAGCTATTTTAAAATTCTTTATTTTCCCTTTTATCCTATATCAATTTTTCCAATAATTCCATTCCAATTTCTTGAAAAATCCCCACTCATCCTTATTGAACTAACATATCCTTTTTTTAATACTAATATTTTTAAATTAACTTTTTTTAAGTAATACTTAATCTTAATATTGTTTTATTTTTTTGTTTCAGGTGATATTTTAGCGTCTGGCATTGACCGTGGACATTTTGGACCATGGCAGTTGTGTAAGCAGTCATACCTTGGCAAAACTAAATGTGGTGATTCGATATCTAGGTTTCATCCAGATGGTAAGTGATTTGGCATAATGGCACATATATAATACTGTTTTCACATTTTAATCTATTTTTTTGTTTTGTTTCAGAAACCGTAAGAATAGCTGGATACTTTGCCCTTTTTGGAACCTTCAGTCTTGCGGTGTTCTGTGTATTAAGTATAATTCAACTAGCAATGATTGTGTCACGAGAAAAGGTAGTTATTGCTTATAGCAAGACAATCATTTCCAAATTGGTATTTGCGTTCGCTGCAAGTAAGTTCATCAAATTATAGAGACGTTCTTTAATTTACATTATTTAACATAAATTTTCTATTAATTTTATTTTACAGCGTTGCTATCAATTATTGCGGCTGGTTTATTCGCCTTACAGACCGACGACCGAAACATCACATACCAAGTGACGAGAGGAGAATCATTTTACATGCAGGTAATGACCGTCAAACTTATAAAACCAGTTTTGGAGTTGGATATAAATGTAAAAATAATTTTCAACCCATTAGGAATCAAATTTTTTACTCAAAACGAAGAAATAAAAATATTTGTCCCGTGTTCTATTTAATGATTAATATTGCTATGAAATTATTAATCTCTATTTCGTTTGAAATTAATAATTAATAACAAATGACATTAGTGCTAGATCTTATGGAGTATAAGAATAGCTACATCCCATCGATGATGTAAACACAATTCGAATAGTTAATCGATAGTTTAACATATTTGAAAATGCCCATCACTATTTTTTTTATTATTAATTGTATCTTATTTATAATCATAGTACCCTGAATAAACAGTTTTAAACAATTCTATTTAGATCGTTAGTATTATTAAAACAGCAAAACTATTAATCTGACTATAATTTTACATAAGACCAATATTTTAGAAAATTTAACTTAACATATTTTTTTTACGAAACATTTTGTTGTAAAATGATTATTTCGAAAATGAAGAATGATTTATATTCAAAAAACGAATTTTAGTAAATTATTTTTTTATTTTATTTTTTTGAGCAAGTAAAAATAATTTTATAAAATTTTTGTAAATACTATTTTAGAAGAAAATATTAAAATCTATAATTTATATTCTATATATTGTTACGATAAGTGTGTTAGTTTTAAAAATAATAATCAAAAACTGAAAAATTACTTTTTTGAGTGAATTTTCAAAACCGATTCGGACCTGAAGGGGGTAAGTTATCAAAACCAAATTTTACACAAATAACTTTCATATAATAAAAAACAAAATTGGAGGGTATGGAGATACATCAATGAAAGTTGATAAAATAAGAGCCACCCTAATATATATCTGCGACTCACCCCAGTTTATTTTTTAAAATTCTATAACTTCTGAAATACTAGTAAAATGGTACTTTTTACTATTATTAATTGTATAATAATTTATTTTAAGTAATCGTTTATTATTTTCTTATTATAATTAAGTGTACTTAATACAATTTTTAGATAGAACTATTCGAATATTTTTTAAAACTATTCGATAGTTTATGTTAAAAACACACTATTTGTTGTATAAAAACAATTCGAATAGTATTCGATAGTTTAAAATATTCGAATATGCCCATCACTAGTATGAATCATATAAGGAGTACACCTAATGTTACTCTTATGATTTACATATAATTATAAATATTTGTGAAGTATGAAATATTAAGTTTATTTTTTTCAGATTTGTTTAATCATTTTAAACTTTTTATTGTTTGTCGCCGCTATTTATGATTTAATATTTTCTCGAAGAATGGGCGGTGATCCAACTATAAGTTATAGAGATCCAACCGGTGTAGAAGCTACCACATTCAACAATCCTTCTTTTAAAGAGAAGAGATCAATAAATCCCAGTAAGTACAATCAAATTACAAATAATAAAATAAAATAATTTTATTTTTCTATAAATTAAGTTTAATACAATTATTTTTCAAAGATTTATAGTACCTACTACGTGAACATTCAATTTACAAAACTATGAAATATTATATAAATAATACAGAATGATTCTTTTATCATGAATCACCTTTTAATCGAAAAATAAGAATAATTATCAATTTTTTTTGTTTTCTTTTAATTACATACTTTTCTCAATTTATCAAACATGAAGAATTTTTATGTTTATCTGTTATATCTTAATAAGTGTATCTACTTTATTTTTAAAAACGGTAACATACATCATTAACTAGTTTATTTATCAGATAATATCATATATATTTTCAATATTTATATTAATATTATGATTATATAATGTTAATTTATTTTTAATATTACCAGTATTTTAGAAGTTACTTACAATTTAAAGTACTAAGCTCTCCATTTTCGTCTATGATTAATTTAATTTGTTTTGTTATTCAAACGAAAATAAACAATATAATTATTAGATACAAATGATGTTCAAAATATGTTATTTTTTATTAATTTGAAATTTATAACTTAAATATTCTATATATATAGATCTATGTAAATCTAACTCTATTTCCTCTGTCAATGTTTCAGTTTTTTGAATTAATTTGATATCGTTCAGATTATTAACGACCAACTTAGTATTTCTTAAACTTATTTTAACAAAATATACCTTTCATATTAAATTTTAAATAGGTATTAAGTATGTAAAATATGTATTAATTTATAATAATATTCTTTTATGTAGGAGGACCTATATCAGTGACTGATGCGAGTGGCAAACCATACTTAAGTGGAGGAGTAACTAATGGTGGTAGTACTATGTCAATGACCACTACATTGAGTTCCAATGGATCTACAATACTAGGATCTCCAGCAGTTCGTAGCCCTTTACGGTCTTCTCTGAAGAAACCTAAAGCAACAAATGGAAATGGGTTTGGCATACAGAATCCAGGGTTTAGTGGTACATCACCTACACTATCCAGAAATGGCAGTGTTAAGAAAGTTCGTATACAAACTCAAAGCACAGCAGTATAACACTACCAAAGACTTATCCTGAATAAAAGCCGGGTTTCGCACTAAATTATTATTGAACTGTTATTTTATATATATATATATATATCATTAGTTATTAGGTTTATTATTTAATCTTGCACTGAAACTGTCCTAGGGAAACCAATATTATTATTGTAGGATAAGCATATTGTTTATTCTTGGAGTAACATAAATATTATTGTTGTGGTACATTGGATTGTAACCTAATCAAAAAATAAATAATAAATACCATTAAGTTTTAATGTAATTTACTGCTAACAAAACTTCTATTCACATTATTATTTACTCAATGAATTTGTAAAAAAAATTCCATGTATAACAGGTATATAATTTTTGTCTTACTATGTTTATAATATGATAAATATTGTTTATTGTTTATTAATTCATTATTATGAATATTTTCTTATAACTTTCAGTTGACAATTTTAAGTTTTAACAACATAAAAATAATATTTTTCCAAATTTAAAAGAAATTACAATTTATTGATAAGATTACTATCATTGAAACTATACGATTTTTTCCACTTATTATTTAATTATTCAAAACTTGTAAATACTTATGAAATGTTAATATTTTTTTATAATTCCGTTTAATTTATGAATTACTCATATTGTGCCATTACATTCATATAAATGATCATTACTTTTTGAGTATTTAACTTTATTTTCTTAAATGTTCATGTTAATAGGACACTAAAATTACACTAATTTTACTTATGTATCAAATAATTATTATTATTATTATTATTGAATTTACATATTGGTATGAATTAATCCTTTAATTTAAATATAAGTACATTTATTTATAATGATTCAAATTATTGTTGTATACAACCTGTAATTTTTTTTTTTATCAAATTCAGCATAAACTTTTCTGTGTTTAAATATTTCTGTAGCACTTCTTTTTTTTATAAAATAAGTTTTTTCATTAACTTGATAATTGTTCTTAGTTCAATATTATCCATAATTAATAATTAACAAATATTTTTGAGTATATTTTTAATAGAATTATTGATAAAACTTACTAAAAGACAATTCAGCCTAAATTTACCAATAAATAATTTGGTAGTAAAAATAATATTTAAAAAACTGAATTCTCTTAAATATTATTAAATACTGTTCTTTAAAAATTGTGTGCATATCACAGATCATGCTTTAAGATTCAATTAAAAAATGTGATAATAGTTTAAAATATTATATTCTTAAAATTAAAATAATATTTATGGCTTTTTAATATATTATATTATATATAATTATAAGTTCTCTAAACTCGAGATATTTTTTAATATTTTATTAGTAATTATATTGTTATAATATTAGTAATTGTTATTTAAATTTACATAATTAAATTACACTTGAAATTTTTTAAATAACACAGTAATTGTTAATTAAATAGAAGTTTAATCAACCATGGTTTTTAACTCTGTACTATTTTGTTTTTGTAGTAAAAGTGTATCTAATTTTTTAAAGATTGCATCATTACATTTGTGATATTTTTATCCTTTTGTATAATATATGTGTAAATAATTTAGAATTAAACTTTTTAACTGTTACATATCAAATGTATTGTATACCGTCCATTTATTTAGTATGAGTAATTATTATCAATTAGTATATAAAAAAGTTTTATGATCTGTTGTCTATACAGAGTGATTTACAAGTGTGCAATATGAGATTATAGTATAACATATACCCATTGTTGAATGTTTTTCTTTTTGATTGTAATTCTGTTACACTTTTTTATTGTATAATTGTTGTCATACCAATTAATTTAAGAGTTTTGTTTTGTTATAATTTTTCTTATGATATTAAACATTTTATTTAAAAATATTAATTGATTATTTTTACAATAAGTAAAATGAAAAAGTACTAAACAGAGTGTTCAATAAGTAAGGAGACAGGTTCATTGTTACAGACTATGAGAATAATAAAAACCAGTTTCCTTACTTAATGTACACTCTATATGTGTTAAATTAATTCATGTGTATATTAAAACTTTTGTTTGTTAATATGTCAGTACAATTGTTTTGTCTTGTATTATTTAGGTATTTATCTAAACTTCAAATATTTAGAAGCAACTATAATTGATAAAAATGATTTTTTTTTAATTTTCATTCTCACATTGCTTATTGATTTAACAATTAAATACATTTATTAAAATTAAATAAATGTTTTGAATCTTAAAATATGTGTATTATTTTATTATAAACTTATAGTGCTTTATTATTAATTAGGTATTTTATTTTGTATTATTTTTTTGTAAATCTGACCATTTTTTTGCCTCTAGGTGAAGATTCAAAATATCAACTTTTGCACACAATTTAAACTTTTTCAACTTAACTTTTAAGTTAACACATTTATTTTCTCAGCTCTCACTTGACTAACTTTATTTAACGATAATTTTGGTAGAATTTATATCATTAAGACGTTTAAAATTATTAACCAAAGACAAAAAAAACTATCAATCAATTTTACCAATTGACAATTAACGCGTAATAATTATAAATGTAAAGTATAGTTTTACAATAAACTATAACAAAAAAAAAAAACACCACTTCATGCTTTATTATAAGAATATTTATAATAAAGCACTTAAAATTATCAAAATAAGCACAAAAAAAATTCATTATAAGTACTTAAAAACATTGAATAAAGCAAAAATAGCTATCTCAAACATTTTCCCTTATAATTATAATTACTAAATATTTGTGCTATTTTTCAAAATTACAATATAAAAAACCCAGCACAGGGGGATCGCGGCACAGTGGTGACGTGGCATAGATGGATCAAGTANAAAAAACCCAGCACAGGGGGGTCGCGGCACAGTGGTGACGTGGCATAGTTGGATCAAGTATAATGATATCTGACAGTGATTAAAATCACTATCAAAAAAAAACGCTTCGATGCAAATCTTTAGATAGTGTTTAATTTTAAAAAATTGGTGGATTATTCCAAAAGCTACATGATCTGCTAGTTCATTATTAATATCCTAATTAAGATAAAGTATGTCGAATGAAAAAGGGATTATTAAAAAATATTATTTCTCATAAAAAAATTATGTTGATCCATACACTTTTCAATAAGTTATAGCATTATAAAGTTAAAAATTTTAAAAATAAAATCAAGAATTTTCACACGAAAATAGCATTCGGTAGCCATTTTCACTGTGAAGACAAGTCCAGAGGTCAATTTTTTTTTTTAAATTAAAGTATATTACATTAGCTTTAATTTAAGATATATATATAAAAGTGTCAGACCTTCCGGAACATTTTCAAAAGTTAAGTTGAAAAAGTAAATTTTTTGTGAAAAAGTTGTCATTTTAAATCCCCCCCTGTGGGCAGATAAAGGGTCAAATTTACAAAAAAAATATACCAAATGATAGGTAAAAACATCAAGCATCTATAAAAAAAACAATTATACTGATATGTTCATTTTTGAAAAAGTTACGGCAGTTATTAGTAAAAAAATTGAAAAAAATTTGAAAATTAGCAATTTTTAAATTTGTAATTTTTTTGGAGGTTTCCCCAATAGACGACGGGATACGCGAGATAACACGTGGTGTGTTGAGAGTTACACACAACACACATACATGTGATACTAATATAAGCGTGTTAAAAATAAATCGTTGAAAGAAATCGGTTCGGTGAGAGCTGAGAAAAAGTGGTAACAGACACAAAAAAAACACATTATAGTAAAATCTTGTCAGCTTTGCATCGAAGCTAAAATTCGAACTATAAATTAGAAATTTTTAGTGTCATTGTTTTTGAACTGTATTTAAAAGTATAAAATAGCTAAAAAAGCATAAAAAACTGTATTAAAGCTTAAAATAAACAAAAAGCACATTCAAATTTTCGTAAGATATAGTTGTAATATACCATAAACTTGTAAAGCACTCTGCTACTTATTATGTAAAAGTATAAGCAAATGCTTAGTTCCGAACCCTGATTATAAGTTATATTGTTATATTAATTCAAATATAACTCATATCATAGGAAAAGCAACATTAATCAATTTTTCAATTCTTTAACAGAACTTAAAAAAAAATTAAAAACACATTAATGTTATAAGAATATTTTATTTTATTTTTTTAATTACTTAGAGAGAATTTATTTCAGAAATTGTATAACCTGAATACAGAGTGATAGGATTATCATAAATCACTCAATTACTCATAAAATAAATACAATATTAAAAGATATATTATTGATTTCTTTTAGTTGCATATATTTCTTAAATTATCAGTTAATAATTACTTTTTATAATCATTCCTTATAACTTAAAGGAGTGTCAACTTTATTATTTTTAATGGCATCATACACATTTAACTAGTTTATAAAATAGAATATATAATAATAATTAAGAAAAAGACCGATTGATAACAACTTTTGATCCAGTATTTTGGGAATTTATTCTCATATTTATATCTAGATGGGACGGAGAGAACAGCTGTGAAATGACTAGTGGTAAAAAGCAGCACCCAAAATTTTCAAAGAACTCATTATTTTAAGAGAAATTGAGTAGCTAGTATTAAAAAAATTGCTATATATGCAATTAAAACAAATCAATAAAATTTTTTTCTTAAATAACCTGAATCAAAAAAGAAAAATACCAATTTCTCTAGAAGAAAAATAATTGAAATCAATTGAAAGTCTTTTTTTCAAGATATCAATGATATATTAATTAAAAAAAGCAAAAACTTTTAATAGTATTATTTTTATACACCTTTCATTAAAAAACAAAATATTGAAAATTTTAAGAGGTTCTAATTGAGTATTTACAAGTAACTTTAATTTTTCTGATTAATTTTCAAAAAAAAAAAATAATAATTAATAGCTTCTTAAAAATAAAAAAAAAATTAAGATGCTACATTAAAAATGGTAACATTGTGTGAATATTGCATTGTTCAGACAAGTATAGATGATATCTGAGTGATTAAAATCACTATATTTAATTTTCAAACATTGATAGATTATACCAAAAGCAAAATAAACTCCTATTTCCTTATATATATCTTGATTACAAGTTTTATGATACATAATTGTAATATATGAATAAATTTGTTGAACTTCGACAGCCATTTGCACATAGAAAATAGAAAGATTTTATTTTTTTAACATAAAGCACGTAACAATCTTTAATTTAACATGTATATAAAAGACTCAGTATTTCCGGAACATTTTTAAAAGTTCTACTTTTTATACGTATATATCAAGTTTTTAATGCAACTTGTATAAGGGGAAATTGTCCAAATTAAAAAAAAAAATTGTCTGATGAAAAGGGTATATAGAAAATATTTAAAAATTTGCATTATTTCATACATCTTTCAAATAGTTATAGTAATTTAAAATTGAAAAAATAAAACTTGAAATCGTAAATTTAAACACCAAAATTACATGTTTTCTATCTACGGCAACCATTTTCAATGAAAGATAAGTCGTCGGGATAAATTTTTTTTTTTAATTTATAGTACGTAATATTAGTTATTGTTTTTCCATGTAGCTAGGGGATAAGAATACTTCCACGGCCCCTCTGTCAGTCGTAAGAGGCGACTAATGAGGTTGTGTCAGGTCGATAGCGTAAAAATCTTTGTCAAAAAATTATGAGGAATCCTGAACAAAACTTAGGCGGATTGTCCCAACTCGGATGAACGTGGCGACAGCAGAAAGTAGTTAAAAAAGGAGAAGGCCTAAGGAATAAAATATTTGATACCAGCCGGACAACTTGTGCGGTAGCTGTTTCATCAGTCATGTGTACAGGTCTACCCAACGCTTGTAGTGTCAACGGTGTAGGGACATCACCACTTAACTCTAGGTTGGACTCGTGTATAAGGGAGAAAGATAGATACAAAGTAAGAATAGGTACTTGGAATGTTGGAACATTAACTGGTAGAAGTAGAGAATTAGAAGAAGTATTGAAAAGGAGAAAAGTTAACATTTGTTGTGTGCAGGAAACGTGGAAAAGAGAGAAAAAACATATTATAGTAAAATTAATACCTTCTCAGTCTCGCATCAAAAATAAAAACTTTTTAACAAGTATATTGTAATTTATTTACTGTTAAAATATTCAACAAGGAATTAAATGAAACGCTGTTTTATTATTTTAAATTACATCAAAACATATTAGTTAATATCCAACTACAATACACAGCCATTTAAAAGAAAATAATTTTTTTTATAACATTAGTAACAATAAATAAAATCTGGTAAATGACATATTGCTTACAATAAGATAATTTGTATAAATCTGTATCATATGCAACATTAAAAACATTTACAATTCTAATGATATAAACCGGTTAACAATTGTATTACATTTTATGACAAATTTTTAATGTAATTAGTATAGAACATAAAATAAACACAACAATACAATTTATTCAAAATCGTGGATTTTCTCATTCATTGGAAAAATATATATTTAATAACTATAAAAATTATAAAGCAGAATTTATTTAAATGATCTACTGGTTATTTTAATTTATGTACAGAATAAAACTGATAAATTATTAACAGAAAAAAAATTGTTCATTTTCATTCAAAATTAATATTAATTATATTGAATAATAATAAAATAATATGAATATTTATAGGTGATTCACTTATGATGAACCACTTAATTGGAAAATAAGAATAATATTAATAATTTTTATTAGTTTCTTTTAGTTTAATGTTTATTTTAATTTATCATGAATAATTTTTTACGTCCATCCTTTTATACTTTGTAAGGGTGTTAAATACATTTTTTAAATGGAAACATACATGTTTAATTGGCATGTAAAAAAAAATGATCCAATGAAGAAAATGAGGGTCAATAACTACTTTTGAACTACATTTTTTGGCTGTGCTTTTCTTTCTACCTAGATATTAAACATGTCCATAATTTCGAAAATATTGATCCAAAAGTTGTTGTTGACCAGTAATATTTTTTAATTAAATCATTATTTATTAAATAAGCTAGTTAATTATGTGTTGCCATTTAAGTAATAAAATTGACATCCAAGTATAAGAGATGAACATAAAAAATACTCCATGATTGATAAATTAAGAAAAACATTGTATTATAAAAAACACATGGAAAAAAATTATCAATATTATTTTTATTTTTCAATTAAATGATTCATGTTAAGTAAATCATATACATAATTAATATTAATTGACAATAAAATTAAAGGAATATTAATTTATTACACCACAGTAAGTAACATTATCTTTAAAAGAATAAAGTTATATTAAGGAGCAGAATAATATATATATTATTTTGTTCAAAATAATAACAATTAAAAAAAAAGATACGCCTTTACAAAATTTGTTTTTCCTCAATAATTTGTAAGTTTTGCTTTAACAAAAAAGATTGCATATCAATATAAAAATGTTATAATTTTATTTCAATTTCAAATCTTAAATTTTATAAGATATTTACAAATAGATGTTAGAAAGTGAAGAACATAATGCTTTTAGACACACTGTGCACATCAAAAATCCGTTAATATTTGATAGCATATTAAAAATGGTAACATTAACACATAATAAAATATTTTAAGCTAAAATTAAAATTTTTCAATAATTTATAAACAATTGGAATGTATGAACATTACAAAAACAACATTTTTTACTAATAAATACTATAACACTACAGAAGTTTTTAAAAACATAATATGGCAAAAATTATCAAATTACAAATTCATTAAATACATAGGTCATAAACAAAATATACATTTATTATCATGTGATTTCAATAAAAAGTGTTAATAATGTATGGCACTACATATTATCAGCTAGGAACTAAATCCAAAAATATTGCCAGAGCGAAAAACTCTAACAACGCTAAAAATGTTATAAATTAAATTAACGTAATAATACTAAACATAATTTTTAAAAATGCTAATAGAAACAACTGTTTTTTTATAATTTAAGTTATTGATTTTACATTATATAGTGATATAAGACCAAAACTTAATAAGCATTTGTTTGAAATATGTTGCAGCTTAAATAAATGAACAAAGTTTTTAAAATAAAAAAAAATGTTTAGGAATGGTTTACATTGCACTTTTTTTTTATCTATTCAGCAAGAGCATTATAAATTTTTTGTGCTCTCATTCTTATTTCTTCATTTTTATGTTGTTTCATTAATACTAGGCTTTTTGCACGTATTTTTTCAACTACATTAACTCCGTAAATATTGGCATACCTGCTAAATATAACAGCATATAAGGTATCATAATACTATGATTACTGATAACAGTTCAATAATCTTATGCTAAAAGCACAAAAGAGAAAAAGAATACTTCAAGATATTATTTAAAATAATTTTTAATTAATTGAATTATAAAATTAAATAATAATTAAAAAAAAAAAACTAATAATTTTAATAGATATGTTTGCAAAATATATTATATTTCTAACTAAATATTTTTATGGATATTAGCTTGGCTAATATTTGAATTCTAACATATAATTTTCATTATGCTCACATACAAAGTGTCCCACCAGGTATGGACATCTTTAAAAACTTTTGAACCAACAAGTGTTCTACTTTTTTTTAAATAATTTTTAGACTTGGATTACATTAAAAGTATATTTTTTATAATTTGTTTCTTATAAGAAATAATAAAAATACAATTTTTTATTTGTTTGAAATTTTAAAAAAGTGTAATATTACAACAAATTTTAAAAACTTTAGGATTAATACTTATTGAGCTAAAAATACTTTAATATATATAGTATTCTATAGATTTCCTCAGTCATGAAGAGGTTACATCAGCTTGATGGATGGTGTGAAAATTTTGCCAAATAAATAAGGTAAAGCCAACCTAAAATAGTTGGGTTAAAGGCTAAGGAGATGATGATAATGATGAGTGAGTATGTAGTTGGTGGGTATGTGTATGCATAGTAGGTGTATGTAATATAAATATACACCACCAGTACAAACTGTACCAACATTATTATGTATTAAAATGCTTATAAGTCAGTAAGTATTTATCCTATAGTTGTTATAGATCTATCAAAATTTTTTAATAAGAAAAAACTAAAAAAAAAATAGATATTTTGAAATTTTAATAAAATAATTTTTTTTTTATTAGAGACATATTCCAAAACTGTAAAATATAAAAAATTATTTAAAATGAAAGTAATGCAAAATATATGCTGGATGAAAAGTTATTTAAAATGCCAAACCTGGCGGGGTACTTTCTATAATGTTCGTTAGACAGTATATATAAATTTATCAAGAAAAGGGAGGTTGCCTAATAATTTTTAGAAATGCAGAACGGTTTGGAATTTTTCACCACCTATCTTTTTTATATCAATAGAGCAAAACCTCTTGTTTCCCTAAAAATGTCATTTCCAAAAAAAAAAATTTTAATTCAATTGAAAGTTAATCAATTTAATTACACTAAAATAATAAAACTATTTTATATTCTAAGCACTTAAAATGTAACTGTTATAAGTGACATTCAAACAGGGTCCTATTTTTGGATAATTGCTCTTTAACTAAAATAGTAAATGCTTTCTCCAATTTCTTTTAGAATCTTACGTGACCTCTCTAGGGACACTATTCTGTATACAAAATTTATAATTTTAAATTGAATTCAATATTTATAAATCATTATTTGCATTAAAATTTTTTTACTCTTTAATAAATAAAATTGCATATATATGTGTATATATACATTTTATTTTTTAAATATTAACTTTTATATTTCCAATAAGGAATGGCTTATTTTATGGTGTGAGTGGTTACAACCTACTGGTCTTCGGCAAATGCTGAGCAGCAAACACCTACTTTTTTTACATCACCATTATGGATAAATTGTAAATAAAATTTGAGAGAAAAATTATTAAATTAAATAGTGAATTAGATTAATGTAATAATACAATGAAAAATTAAATCTAAATAGGAAAATTCCTATTGATTAATCAACATAATCTTAGGAAACCTTTTTTATCTCTAGTAAAACCACTAAATTTATTATTCAAATATGTGCTTAAAATTTAATTTTTGTAGGAAAATAAAATCAAACACCTTATGTATATGTCTACTGCAAAAAAAATAAAAAATTAATATTATAAAAACTTACATAGTTTCAGGTGCGGCAGCTTTGTCTTCTATAGGTAAATCAAGCACTGGATCCAGTTCCATTGCTTTAACTGCATCAGTTAGATTGCTAAATAGTGTCACTAATCTTAGTAAAATATCTTCATTTTCATTCAAACTAAGCATAGATGACAATTTTTTTGGAGCCTAAAATTGTCATTATTTTTGTTATTTATATAATAGATTATCTTTAATAATTATATAATTCTATAATAGGTTTGTAATATTTAAAATATTATAAATGAATAGAGTAATAATTAAAAGAAAAAATAATTTCAAACTAAATTAGCTCACCTGACCACCTAATAAATGAGGTATCATATTATCATTACAAGATAAATTTATCAAAAGTTTTAAACATTGAAGTACAACTTTAGGATTTTTACTTTCCAATAAACTATAAAGTGCATGTATTGCTGGTTGTAGTTCACTATGCCATATATGAAAAACTGCTATATTTGTAAGTGCAGATAAACAATTATAAATTATCTCATCAGATTCCATCATCTTCATAAGAGCTAATAGCACTGGAATTGTTTCCTAAAGATAAATACATATAAATTATTTGATTAATTTTTTTTAAGTAATATAATTAGATACCTTCATTTCCTTAGCATTATTTTTATTTAAGGCTAAATTTCCTAGGGCTACAAGGGCAGTAATTTGAACAGATTCTTCGGGGTGATATATCAATTGTTGTAATTGACTTAGGTAACCAGCTTCTCTCATAACTTCCTTTAAAAGTAAAAGCATTTTTGTGGAGACTATACAAATCAATAGCATAAAAAAAGGTAATTTCCACCTATAGGAAAACTTTACTTTCTGATATATTGAATCATTTTAGTCTAAAAACTTAATAAGAAGTTAATTAAATAAAAAATTAGATTTATATTAACTAGCTTAAATTTATAAATGATGCTCAACAATTAAATATTTTTCTCTGTTTATGCAACCAATATAAATATATAAGCAATACAGAACATAAAAAATCATATTATTACTTATATTTAAAAATAATATAAGTAATATAGAACCCATATAGGTGTTCAGTAAGTAAGTAAACACGTTTTATTGTTCTTATTGTTTATAACAATTGACCTGTTTCCTTACTAATTGAACACTCTGTTACAGACAGATTATTTGTTCTTTAACAACATTAACAATTAACAACTCTACTAGTGTTTGATTAGCACAAAAATCTCTACAGTCCAACTATGAGTATGAGCGCATGAGTGTAAATAAACTGATTCCACCCTTCTTGAATTAATTAAAAACTTAATGAAGACAGTCGACATTTTACCTCGATTGTGGCAACTTATCTTTATTGATTTGATAACTTAATATAATAACATAGTATTATTGTGGTTACTATGATAAATAGTGTTCTTGTTTTTATTATTACTATTATTATTATTTATCAGTTATTAGATCAATAAAGGTAAGTTGCTGCAAGTGTGGTAAAATGTCGATTGTCTTTAATTAATTCAAGAAGAGTATAATCGATTTGTTTACACTTGCACACCACATACTCATAGTTGGGCTGTAGAAACGTTTGTGCTGATCAGGCACTAGTATAGTTGTCAATTGTTAATGTTGATGTAGGACGAATAATCTGTCCGTAACAACTATATATATTAAATTGTTTAATAATTATAAAATTACTTGATTTGGAGTAAATGTGGCCAAATTACTAACAGTAACCAATACTTTTTCAAGAACTTGCACATTTCTAGATCCCATAAGTTTTAGTAAATTTTTAGCTTCATTAATTTCCATTGGTCTGTAAATAATTAAGATGTAAGTAATATTGATACCTTTTTTTTAAAATATTTTTTAGAAATTTAACCTGTTTAATAAAGATGGTTGGTTAATTTTTTCAAAATCCTCCATGTCTTGATTAGGTTGACTTAAAGATAATCTATGTTCACTAGGTTGAGGTGACTTTCGCCGCAATGATCTACTAGAATTCTTTTTTCTTACTGGAGTGCCTAAGTAAGAATCTAAAGTGGAGTTATCACACAGCCTTAGATTCTCAGTTGACCGGCTTCCTAATATATGATGAGCATCTACAGGACTCATAATTCTAGGTGAATTCCACGGTGATGCCTTTAATTTCAAATGATATAATACAAATTAAATTTACAAATTTTAATTAGATAAAAATGTATTTTTTATAATTATTGTAATTAAGCAGACTACATGATAATTTACAATAAATTACTTAAAATATAGAAATAAATCTAGTTTACCAAGCAACCTTTTTAAAAATTTTATTTTTTAACATGTATTTTTACATGCTTTTATCAAAATTATTTTAAAAAATTAGTGAAAAAACTATAAAATGTTTCAAAAGTTATAGCACCTTAAATTTACTGAGTCGGTAAATCAAAAATAACATAAAATTATTCAATAATAAAAAAAAAAAAAAACAATGCAGAAAAAGTATTTTTTTTTTATTATAACTTAATAAAAATAAACAAAAAACAACTAAAAAAACAGATCCAGATTACTTGTTTGAGACTCTATGATAATCTCATATAATGGGGGATTATTCCCCCAACCCCCAGAGAAAAGGAAGTCTAACCCAACAAGTCTGAACTGTCATAGAAAACAGTACACAATTGTTTATTATTAACAGAAATTATTATTAAAAAATAAATCAACAGAAATTTTTAAACATTTTTGGCTTATGATAGATTAAACTAATGCAATTATAACAAATGCAGATTAACCACTATTCATTTTGTTGACTCTGAAACTAAGGCACATTTAAAACCAATAGTAATCATATAAAGTCATGCCAAGGTATCCTTCCTCAGCTAATGACGTAAAAAAAAATTGTTCTATGTTGTCTGTCTTGCAAAAAGTATGTTTTTGAAAAAATGAACACAGATAACAATATATTCTCCATAGAATTTTTTATAAATGCAGGTATGTTATACAATCCAGAAAACACTGAGATGAATTTTAGTAACCAGGAAAGAAGAATTGAAGAAAAGGACCAAAACAGCCAGTCGGAGTAACGCTTTTGGGGATTTTGAAAATACATTGACCAGTGACCTGGTAGAACAAAACTTATATTTTGAACGATGGAGACTTAAACCTAACCCACTAAAAACTGAAGTGACTGTTCATTTTAATAATAGAAATACGAGCCATAAAATAAAAGTGTCCTTTTTGATGAACAGAAAATAAAAAATAGTCAACACCCTAGATACTTAGGTGTGATTCTAGATAGAATTCACACATATAAAGAATACATGGATAGATTATCAGCAAAAGTTAAGACACGTCAGAGCATAATTGCTATACTGGCTGGGTCAACATTAGGAGCAGATACAAACACATTTCACAAAAGTGCTCTATTTTTTGTGTACTCAACAGCAGAATACAGTTCATCTACCTGGCTTAACAGCGCACACACTAATAAAATAGATAAACAACTTAATATAACAATGCGGGCAATAGATGTACTGACAAAATCTACACCACTTAAAAGGTTTCCAGTTCTCAGTAACATTGCTCTCCCCAAATTGCGAAAAGAAAACAATCTCATACTTGAGTGGATCAAATACTCCAGTTACCCAAACTTTCCAATTCACAAGAATTTACCCATACCAGACAAAATACAATGACTTAAGTCCTGAAGACCCCCATAGAAAACCGTAAGGAAGCTCATCAAAGAAAAATTTGACATAAACCATGGATGGAAAGAAGATTGGATATCAGAAAACCTTGATGTGCATAAACTCATAACATACCCAATTTCTAAACATTAAGGAATTGAGCCAACAAGGAAAATTTGGACTACGCTAAACCGTATTAGAACAGGCCATGGTAGAAGGGGTCACATGATGCATAAATAGGGACTACATGATTTCGAAGCATGTGACTGTGGACACACATCATAGACTGTTCACATTATTAACAAATACCCATTGCGAGCTTTCACCTATACAATACAAGATATCCATCAAGCGAGTAAAGAAGCGGTAAAATGGATGGAGAGCTTGTATGTTATATTATAACTTTAATTGACAATAATATTTAACTACCTTAACCACAATGACCCTTTGTTTTATTTACTTATTTTATTTTATTATATACAACTATTTATTTATTTATTTTTGTTAAGTTACCATGAAATATTTGTAATTTTTTTTTTATAAGTTAGTGAGATAAAAAAATGTTGTTCATACTATGTCATACGAAATATATATAGAATAATGAAAAGCATGTTTAACACACACTATTGTAGACATTGTAAATGATTATAACCGATAAGGAACAATTCATATCTATTAAATAGACAGATAAATCAAGTGTATTAAAACAACTACAAAATCAGAAAAATTATAACCCGTAGATAATAACACTCTTTATTTAACATTAGGTAACAAAATACCCCATAACTTAAAAATGCTGCAACTATTGAATCATTTGTTTCTACTTGAAAATTTTTATATAAATTTATTCTATAATAAAAAATTAATTCAAAATAAAAAGGAGGTCGTCAAGCTAAACTTATACCAAAATCTGTTATATTGAATTAAACGTATATAATAACTAAAGAAAACAGTGTTTAAGAAGATATACATTTGACACATCGACAAATTAAAAATTTCTCATGAATTAAGTCTAATTTAGTTCTAATAAATTTAATTAAATTTATAAATACTCTAAATTAAAATATACATCAATAGTCAGCCAAAATAATTATTTGAAATATGTTTTAGGTGAATACCTGTAAACTTCTTGGACCATACAGTGAATGTTTGTTTGATGGTGTTTGTATTGCAATCATAGTATCAGCAAACATTCGAGCTCGTAAATTAAGCTCCTTAATTCTCTCTTGAACTGTCATAGGTCTTAAGAATACACGGCTGGTATCTGAATTATCTAGGTTACCAAGTAATACATCAGTTTGAGTAGTTTGTGATAGGCGACGAAAATATAAACGATGGTCATCATGATAACCTAATTTAGAAATGTTCAATTCATATTTTAATAAATAATACATAAATATCTAAAGAAACATTTTTTTTTTAAATAAATAACTTACCATCATCATGTTTTCGTCCTAACCGCCGACCAAATGCATTTTTTGCTACAGAGTAACCGACATAAGCAAAACCAGCAAAAATAGCTGAACACACAGCCACTCTGTTGACTGCATGGTCATTAGAAGACGACGAATTTAATGCCATAACAATTTTCTGATCATGAGCCACTCAAAAATAATTGAAAATTACAAAATTACTATAAATGATTTTCCACTTGTATTTAAAACATTTACTATTGATATCCTACGGATGTCACAACATTTATTGATAATAAAAAATCATTAGTGTTATCACTAATAACCTTGGGCTATACAGAGTGATTTTGAGTAATATAATCACTCTGTATGAATTATATGTATTGCTTATGAGTGCGCTCATAATATCAGTTATCAATATCACTAATCATAATCATTTCGTTCATGATTTTTTCATTTTTCATATTTATGTTTTTAAGTATTATTCATAGTAAAATGAATAAGAGGTATGCTCGATCATAGTTCGCGTTTTCGTAATGGTACACTCACGTGCATCGCTTTTTGTTTTTGTGCTTTCGTATACGATCGGCAAAATACGATCACTACCTAATGCACTTTATAATCGCGCGATTTTTTAATTGATTATTCTGATACGATATCAATGACGAATTTTTAAGTAATAATTATATCAATTACTTTAAGACAATCATAGATCTTATAAACATGGATAAGACATTGATACTTTATCGGTGAAGACTGTGAAGTAAATTGAGGCTATTTGTTTCCATTATTACATTATCAGATTTTACTTTTTATTATTTAATGGTTGAGTTGGCTTATAACAATTATAATGTAAACAGACGGCCTCATATTCATTATTGTAATATTATTATAATATGAACATTTATTTATAACTGTATTCGTAACTTTTTCAACGTCCTAGTAGTTTTATGCTTGAGTACTCAACGTATCTACAGTTGCGGTTATAGACCACCATTGTTATCTTTTTACTATATCTACGATTTTAATCCATGATACATAATCAATAAATTGGCTGCTGCCTCTTAGACAGTTATATTAACCATGTCGGCTACAGTCAAAAATAATTAATAGTATTAGAACCAGATAATCCTATGATGATGAGATTTTTTAAAAGGCTCTCGAACATCATTCAATGAAACAAAAATTAAATTTACAACAAGAAGTACTGTCTCTGGTAAAAAAATGATTACATTTGTTTAAAAAAAAAAGTTTTTTATGAAAGTATAATTTAATTTAGATAGAAAATGTTAAAACTAAACAAAATAATGAACTATTATTTAAAAACAAAATAAATATTTTATTTCATCAAAATGAGGCACAAATAGTTTCATTAGATAAACTTAAAATAGAATTAAAAATGGCAAAGAACAAGGCAATAATCATGTAGATAAACGGAAATTGCGATTTTTAGTTGTTGATAGAAAAATTACAGAGCAAAATAAAAACAGTGAGAAACTACAAATTTTATTAGATATTAGCTAGATATTCATATTAATTATTTAAAAAGTTTTAGATTTAAAAAGACAGTAACACTGTAGTAGGACACTTTTAAATGAATTATTAAAATACGAAAAAGATCAAGAAATTGTGATGGTGTCACGTTTTCATAATCGTGAGAATTATTTTAATAAAATACAGACAGCACATCCGCTGCCTGAGACTGGTGAATTAACAAATAATATTTATTGCCAAATCGGCAATAGGTGTAATTATTATAAAAACCCAATAGACCTGACCATCGTGGTCAGTCGACTCCAGTGCCTTGTGTCATTCATCAGTCTCAGTACTCGGTTGTCGCTGTCCGGCTTACTGTTTAAAGTAAAGTCTTTGTTTATCCCTTTTCTAACCTATATACTCTTTTCCTCGACATTTCAGAGTACTTGTGTCTTGCACTTCGTCTGCACCTCGTAATTCATTATCCTCTCCTAATAACTAAAGTACTTGTGTCTTGCACTTCGTCTGCACCTCGTACTTTGTTATACTCCTTATCTGGTACGCCCAGTATTTGTGTCTTGCACTTCGTCTGCACCTTATACTCGGCTACCCCGTTCTCTCTTTGGAGTACTTGTGTCTTGCACTTCGTCTGCACCTCGTACTTCATTGTCCTCTCCTATACCCCAAGTATTTGTGTCTTGCACTTCGTCTGCACCTCATACTTTGGGCTCCTTTTGCGTACGCCTAGTATTTGTGTCTTGCACTTCGTCTGCACCTCATACCTAGGTGTTACTCTTATTCTCCCTTCCTATAACAACAGCCTTTCGACACCCACAGCTAACCCGGAGTGTCAGCCGAGCACGGTGACTGCTGTACGACAACACGCACGTGAATACCTAGACAGCAGGCACCACCTCCTCATATTCATCTTCGTACACATAGTTGCACATTTACCTTTTATCATTTTTTTTACTGTGTTACGACAAAATAATATTTATTTTGTGTAACCATAATGAATCTTATGTTAGGCATCACAAAAAAAAAAATTATTAAATGAACAATAAAAATAGGCACTCTTTAAATTATTTAAAGTATTTATTGAAAAAAATGTACGGAAATAAATAATATTGTATATTATTATTTTTATTAGAATCTACTATTAATTTCTCTGATTCGAGAAATAATACGTTTAGAAGACCGTATTAAAGAGCTTGAAGAACGAGCAAAGACTAAATTTAATAAAAGACAAATTTTAAATCAAATAGTTATGGATAGCTCTATTGATCTTGATGCCGTTAATACAGATAATACAAAAATTGCTTTACTTTGGAAAGAAGTTTTAACCAGCATTCAACAAATATGTTAAACAAATATCAACACTATTATTATTTTTATAGGAAAGCAAAAAATCAAAACTTAACTGTTATAATGGAAGTAAATAGTTACAAAGTGCACAGAATGAATTTTAAAAAAATGAAGACCTTGTGAATACTCTTAATAAGGTGAAACAACAACAAATTAATATGCAGCAGAATTATCATAATAATATTAATTAATGATCATGCTAATCAAATAAATAATTTGAGTGATGAACAAAATTTAAGTGAACATTTTCTGTTAAATATAATAAATAATGAATTTTCAGCGTGCTATCAACTTAAACTTATAAAATATCTATTAAATATATTTAGGAACAAAAATCATTGCAAAATGAAATAAATGTTTTAGTGCATTCACTAGAACTATTGTCTAATAAAAAATTGATGCTAGAAAATGAAATGGTGTTTTACTTAAAAAAACAAATGCTTACTAATAAAAGTTGTATTAACATAAATAACAAAATCGGTGAAATAAAAACAGACAAAATAACATGTAATTAAAACTTGAAAAAAAAAAAAAATTAATTTTAAATTTTTGTGTAGGAGCTAATGTTGATTTAAACTGAAAACAATCTCTGTCAAACATTACTAAAAGCAGAATGGATTCGTACAGTGATATCTTTTGTAGAAAAAGATATAGAAGAAAATATTAAAACTATGATAAAAAAGATTAATTTAATTTTTGACTAATGAAACTAATGTCCGCTTGAAACAATATGAAGATTTAATGTAATAAAGTTTAATTGCCGTCTATAGTATACATAATTATTGTTAGTTATATTAGGAGTGGGTAAGTTTTTTTGATAATCAATACTAATAGCTTCAAGTGTATCAGTTCGCATTGACTTTTTCCTATAAATTCTTTTCATTTTTTGTAAAATTGTTCAGCTTTTTCTAAATGTAAATTTTTTTATTCAACTCTTTTTCGATTTCAATATGGGCAAGTGGTGCTGACGAAGGGGTTACAATTTAAAAGTTTTTCCCTAAGAGTGAAAATTTCAGCCTTTTGAGAATCATATACACTGCTTGTATCCTTACGAGGATAAGCGAAACTAATATTAAATTTTGTTTCAAAAATGTTACGAAATGATTCATATGAAATTTTATACTCTTTTGTTTTCAAATATCGAGTGCGATTTTTTTTATGTTTAGAATCTCAGGTAAATATGTTTTTTTTTAATTTTTTAAAGAATAGTGAGATATGCGACCTTTCAATGATTTTAGAAAATCATCTACTTCGTTAAAAATTTCATCTGAAAGTTTTCTGGGACGATTTTTATGTTTTCCCATTTTATCTATTTATGATTTCACGTATGTTTCCCGTGGTTGTTAACGATTCCCTGAGAGTATGTGCGTTTCGCAGAAATACCATGCAAAGACATAAATGCTTTTTTGCAGACAGGAGTGTCTTTGAACTTGTAATCGCAAAAAACACGCACATGGTAGGCATAACTGGCCGAATTGCACTAAGCATTATCGTCACTTAGTCGACTGCGCCTCCTCATAACAGGTAATACTGAAATAAGTCCGCAAAGGTACTTACTCTGGTTATTGTAGTTCCCTAGACTATTAAACTCTCTAATGATACGCCTCTTTTCTTCATCAGAAATATTTTCGAAATAACGATAACGTTCCCACTTACAGTTGGGTCCTAACTTATGTGTTGTAGTACGCAATTTTATTAAACACATCCTGTTCTCTGCCCATTTTAACTCTTTTCTTAGATGGCCATTGCTCACTGTTAATATCATAATCAAAATCACTAAATTCACTATCCATTATGAATAATTGAGAGATAAACACAAGAACTAACTGCCGATTACAGCGAGAACAGAAAAACAGTGACGAAAATGTAAAAACTATTATCGTATGTTATTGTATTTTGTATATTATACGAAATGCGTTACTGGAAAATATATGGTACAATAATAATTATTGTAATTTATAATTATTTTTTTATAATTTATAATTATTTGAAATACCTAATTATCAAGATAATGCTGTTATACCACAGTATTTTGTATTATTATTGTAGTAGGTACAACAGAAAGGGAAAAGATAAATAAATATTTCGAAGTTGGACTTCAAAGTGTTTTCCCCACAACCACACAGAATACAATCTTTCTTCTCCAGTACATCTAATCTTTTCTATTTAATAACAGTGAACTGAAAGATTCTTTCACTTAATTGAATTCAAAAGTCAACAATACTCTTAATCTGGTATCGAATACTATAAAATAAAAATCGATAAAATTGGACTACTACCGTTTTTTCCCTGTACCCTTCAAGTGTGTTGCAGAATTAAAAGTAAATGAATTCAATCATTTAATAATTAATATTCTAATTTTAGCATCGATGAGAAGCTAGGAAGGTATTGATTTTACCATAATGTGTTTTTTTTTTTTTTGTGTCTATCACTACTTTATCTGTTGAAAATTTTGCCCTCGTTCCCCGTAAATAGTGAAAATCTCCCAAAAATTACGATTTTTAAAATCTGTATATTTCGACATTTTTTAAACTTTTT